TACCTGCTGCACCTTCAGGAAGAGGAGCAGCCAGTACCAAATGGCTGCAGCTACACCAAGAGCAGCCCCACCAGGAAGCTGTCCTCACTGGCCAGGGCTGGGATGTCAGAGGGCACAGGCAGGAGTGTGGCATGGGCTCCCTTGGGTGGGAGTAGGCAGGGCTAGGTCCCATGTGGAGCACTGCAGGGGCAGGCGCAGGCCAGATTCAATTAAATTCATGGCTGCCTGCCCGCAGACTGGATCCAATCAGTAAGCAAGCCAAATCCAGCCTGTGGACTGTATTTTGCCCACCCCTGCCCTAAAGCCTGCTTGATGATGTCATCAACTTCCCTTTTTGATTTGAGCCAATAAGAATTCTAGGACCTGGAAGAAAAACTGCAAGTGACAGCAGATTCCCAGCATGGCTAGCAGCAGTGACCACTATAATGCAACACATCTTTTTTCCATGTCAGTTCTGCACTTTCTTTAAACAAGAGTCAATATGGCATCACTGCACTTTGTCTAGATGATTTTCTTACTGCATTTCCTCCCACCAGATTTCAGTCCAAGGTAGGGCAACACAACAGCTGCTGCTTATTGCTTTTCTGTCACCCTTTTGAGATGTATTTTCTCTGCACCTCTCATTTTTGTGTACCCTGTGTCAAACAGGAGTAAAAAGGAAATCTGGGTCAAGTGGACACTCCAGGAGGGCTGACTGGAGGCCTGAGAAGCATCTCATTACTGTAATAGAGCTGGTCAACTTAGACTGAAGTGTAATACAACTTGCAGATTTTTCCAGCACATCAAGGTTATTTTACCCACCATGGACATGTCAAACTTCTATTCTAAGGCAGCCAGATTCATCAAAGGGGAAGTCTCATTAAATTGGGATATGGCCTTTCCCCCCCTTTTATAGTTTAAGAATCTTTAAGATATTTTTGTTGCAGGCATTACAGTTGTTATAATCATTTACCCTTGCAAATAAAAAAAAGAAAGGTAATAAGACTTTGACATAGCAAGGATGGCTAGTGATCTCTGCAGGGCAGGAAGAGCTGTTCCAGCTTTGGCAGCAGTGCCTCCCAGCCATGCAGAGATCAGGATTGGCATGGATTGCTGCGGGGTGGGGAAAGCAGACCAAATCTCTGCAAGGCGAGGCAGATGCCCCCTGAAGCCAGGACAGTTTTCCCTGCCCTGCAGCAATCAGGACCAGTCCTGATCTCCTCGCAGCTGGGAGACAGCTGCCCTCAGAGTTGGTACAGCTCTCCCCACCCCATAGAGATTGGGACTGGCCCCCATGTCCCCTGCCAGCCCAGGACTGGCACTTGGGGAAGCCTGGAGCTCCCCATGGCTGCTACAGGAGAAACAGAGCAGGGGCACCCCTGGACTGACCTACTCCCATCAGGAGCAAATTTGATCCTAACGGGTGCATATTCAAATGTATACCTAGGCAGTTTAATGTGCTTGAACTTTCTGTGCAGAAAATTAAATTGCATGTATAGACACATCCACACTAGCTATTAAAAAGCCATTCTACTAGCTGCTAGAGGGAAGATAGAGGCAATTTACCTAGATAGACAGTAGATGGCACTCTTTAAGCAGCAAATCAATCTAACAGGTCTTTGAATAGGTGTAGTCAAATCTAACTGAAAAATCATCAGCAGTGTTAAAAACCACAATAGAAAACTGAATGAGTCATAGAGAAAGTAAGTCACTATCAAAGATCCTGGTGTGGCATTACTGATAGAATTTATAAACTTTGTGGACTTTTTTGAGGGCTATTAATGTTAAAGAGCAGCTGCCAGCTATGCACTATCAGGCTACTGAAATTACCGTCTAGGAAGTAAGGCAAATCTTGCTTTTGACTTCACCTGTAAAAACTCAGCCTTCAGGTATGACTACTGTCTGTTGGATTCAGAGCTATTGTCTGTGCTGACCCACCTACCCAATTTCTACTATTTGAACTTGAACCTTCTGATGAGGTTTGCACTGATGAAGTCTTCAGGATTACACTCTGCTCAAACAAGTAGTTCAGTCTTTGAGGACTATGGTACAGAACTGAGGAGTATAGTACCCTCTTGGTCACTTCCATGGGTAACATCAGGATTTCATACTGGACTATAAAAGAGAAACAGCCACTTCTCAGTCAGGCACAGAAGGAATTGAAGACACCAACCTGATATTCCTTATTAGAGTTTACTTTCATTCAAAATGGAGAGGAAATTATATTAACAAGTTTGGGAAGAAATAATAGACAGATCATTCCTCCTCTTCTAAAATATACTGAAATGAGATTTTGCTGCACTGGGGGTCTGTTTTTCAGACAGGGGAGCAAAAGTGAAACAGCTGGCACCTTTCTAAAATGAATCATAGAGATGTGAGACTAGAAGGGACCTCAAGAGATTATCTAGTCCAACCAGGGATCCACCCTGCAACCTTGGTGTTACTAGCCCCAAGATGTACCCGAGTTAAATGGCTACTCAATAGCCACTGATTCTAGAAGTGTCTGAACCTCAGTTATTTCTTGGTTTATTTGTATAGGAGTGATACCTAAGGGTTCCCAGGCAAATCAGTGTGAAATTGTACAAGTAACTGGAAGATATGGGGCTGTTTCCCAATAGAGGCTGTCCCAAACTGCAAAAAGAAGAAACTGACTTTCCATTGGCCATACACCGCAAAACTAACATAATACTTTCCTGGACTTGGAGCCATCTACTTATTTTCAGTGCCATATGATACAGAAACACTATACAGGTTTCCCCTGATTTATGCAGGTTATTTATATGCAAATTCGCTCTTATGCAATGAGCATATTCAGACCCATAATTCATTATATGCAAGGTAAATTTGCTCTTATGCGATCAACATAGACGTCCCCATCCCTCCCCAAGCAAGTAAGTCTGTGGGGGGAGGGGAAAGCAGCATGGCCCCACTCACATCAGCCCTGACTGCAGCATCCCTGGACTGGACCATGCTCCACCCATCCCCTCGCTTATCTGCACTCACCTCTGCTCCTGGGTTGTGCTGTACCCTGGTGCAGGCAGCTGGTGTCAGCTGCTCCTGAGGCTGCTCCAGCATGGCGAGTGCTGCGCCACGCACCACCTGGGGCTCCACTTGTCCGCACTCACCCCAGCCTGTGCTGGAGTGGCCCTGGGAGTAGCCACACCAGCTGACTGCACCAGGGCACAGTGCAGCCCAGCAGCTACAGGCAGCTGGCATAGGCTGCTCCCACGGCTGCTGCAGCAGGAGCTGGGGTGAGTGGGGACAGGTAGAGCCCCAGGTGCCTTGGGGCACAGTGCAGCCCAGCAGCTGCAGGCAGCTGGCACCAGCTGCTCCCCAGGCTGCTGTAGCCAGGGCTGGAATGAGTGGCACTCTGTTCCCTCTGCTTTGCTGCCTTGTGCAGCCCCAAGAGTGGCACCCTTCCCTCCTCCCCTTCCCTAGTCCCATCCTCACTCCCTCCCCACCCACCATGGGAGCCTACCCCTATTTGTTACATTGTAAAGTGTGTTCGCTTTATGTAAATTCAGTTTATGCGCCGTTCTCTGGGAACACATGTACTGCATAAAATCAAGGGAAACCTGTATAAGTAAAGAGAACACACAGAAATGTCAGCGTGTGGTACAGGTCATTTCCCTGAAGTTTAGAAAGAACGTACAACATAACATGCTCTACCAGTGTGGAAGGCCACCACAGCCCAGGAACCCCGTGTTAAGTCCTGTCTAAATGCAGAACAGAGACAGCATTATATTTTAGTGCTAATTATCCTTTCTTGACCTTCTATGGATCCATGGAGTGGGGATTAGAGCCGTCAACAGTGACAGAAGGGCAAAACAGGCTGGGAAAGAGAAACTTCCATTCATTTTGTGGTAAACTTCTGCTTGTAAACAGTCTCCCCTTGCCATTACTGGAAGACAAGGTGCTACAAAAGAAATGAAACCATGAAAAAAACTGCTCCAAGCTACAGTCTACTCTACATGCTGCTTATCTGGCCCATTCCCACAACAATGCAAACAGCTTGACCACACTTGTTGAACAGCACTTGCCTGGCAGCTCTGCAAGTTTCTGGGGCTCCCCCTGCCTTCCTGTGTTTCATTGCTTTTCTGTTACTTAAGACTGGAACCTTTTGGTGTTTAGGACCATCTGTTTTTCCATGGAGGGGGGTGGCAGATGGGAAATAGGAAGTGTTCTAGGCATAACCATACTGCATATCAGTGAGTAAAAGAGACAGGAGGCAGAGTGATTTAGAGGAGATGGGGCTGCCAATCGGAGAGGATTCAGAGCAGAAATCCCCCGACAGTTCTTCCTATAGCACAAAAGTGCACCAAAGTTAGAGCAGTTGTACCAGAGGGACCAGCCGGCCTTTCCCCACGTCATTTCTTTATATTGTTAATTTATTGTTGCAATGATTGTGGTAGGGAAGAAACACTCTTTATCTATAAAACAGACAGCTCATGCAAACTTCCTCTGTAATGACCTGTTCCAACAGGAAGCTTGGAGCAGCAAAAGGATACTTCCAGGCCAATTCGAGTCCTTGGCCTTTTTACCCCTGACTGCTAACAAGCAAGATCTGGACCCCTGCTAAGTATGTAGATTGCCTTCAAGACCACCTTCCAGATGAGTTTTGGTCACTATTAGTTTAGCTTGATTTGAACTAACCAGAGGGTTAAAACTTCTAGTCTATACTAAACATGCCACCCTCACTTTTGTAACATGTATTACTAAACACTGCAATACTTTTGCAAACAAAAAGATGTCTTTTCCTGAGTAGTTGTTTAATCACTGAAGGACATGAGTGATAACAAGCTCATATACTCAACTAGGGTGATGAAGTAGCACAAAAAATTGGTGTTCATAGCCTTGTTTAAGTTGCACATGATCATCTGAATCCATGTCAGAAAAATACCTACAACTCAAGATCTGGCACAGCTACTACCCTCTGTTCCCAATAAGCTAACTAATATTTACCAGCCAGCATACAGATCAAGACAATGCAGTCCACAAAAGGAACAGCTGAACACAGGCTATTGATAAATTATATTCTCAAAGTAGCATCAGAGAAGAAGGGAAGGAATGCAAAGATAAAGGTTTCACAGGGCTTCCAATCCACAAGAAAGAAAGAGAACAACAGGTTTTGACAACATACGGATGACAGATTTCGCCCTTAAACCACAACACAAGGCCAAGAGAACAGATTAACGTACAGGACAACAGTAGCAAGAGTTTTCACATCATCCATGAAAAATACTATAGCTAACAGACAGCAGGGATTTCTCTCTTCCAGAGGTACCTTTATTCCTTAAAGTAATTTATTTGAATACTTTGCCCCATATCCCAGTTGCACAATTAGCCACCAGATGAGATTGACACAGACTAACATAAAGCTTTTTATGGTTGTTTGCCAAGTGGAACACAGAGCTAAGCACCAGGTACCCACCAGCAGATTATGGTACAATAGCAGGAATGGAGAAAACAAGCCCATGTAGAAGAGGTTAGTCAATGAGAGTTTAATTAAACTCAAGGTGAAAGGAGGATGAGAAGGAATCAGCTAGTGATGCTGGACCACCTGCTTAGAACAGCTGTGGTATTACAATTTAAGCCCCCAACCAGACTTGGGCTATCCCTGGAGTAAGGTGCTGCCTTTCAGACTGGGACTTTCTTCTTCAGTATTACTGGTCTGAAGACAAAATTTGGGACCGATATCCTTTATCAATGTTAAAGCAAATGACTCATTTTCAAGCCTATGGTAGAGTGCTGTACAGAAACCCTCAGGATTTTATAATACACCAGAACCATTTGTGGCATCTGTCACACAAGTGTTCCTTCATTTTCTGTGCAGCAACAGGTCTAGGTTTCTACCAGTAACTTGATCTTACTGAGTTCATGGCTTTTAGTCCCCGGTCACAGCTGCTAATAAACGAATATGTTGCTTCTTCATGTGTTTAAAAACAAATGAACTTCATATCCTGAAGTTGCTTACAAAAAAAATCATCATCCAGGGTTAAAAAAAAGCAAGCTGGATCACCAACTTAGGCTGCAAAGTGTGGACACAGTTCATAGGTTTTACTCTGCTACTAAAATTCTAGCCATTCTGTCATATAAATACAGTTTGATGGGGAAATCTCACCACCTTCATGGCAATCATCAAAAACCTATGGAAAAACATGAAAACAAGGTTAAGATTCACCACATATTGCGAGCACAAACCAACTGCAAGTAAAAGTCTTCCATGTTCTCTCCACAGAGAAGCAGACCAAGAATTAGGGGGCACTTTTCCATGTGCTGCAGGGGTGGGCGGCAGGGGGCAGTGTTTTAATTAGTGGCTCCGAAAGCTCATCCAATTAAAGTGCTGCCGCACCTTCTGTATCAGCATCTGCATGCTAAAAATGAGCTTTAGTTCAAGCACCCTGCCGCTATTTTTAAGCATGGGGATGATGATACATGAAATGGAGGAGACTGCTGGAGTGCTGCAATTCCCACACTCCAGTGGACTTGATTAACCAAGTCTGCACTGACATGCTGGAATTCCCATATGTTGGAGCAGCCTCCATGTTCATGTGTAGGCGCCCAGGAACTGCATCAAATCCCAACAATGATAAAGATTTCTACTTGTATTACACTGACACTCGGGGTCTTGAATGGGGTCATTTTATGCTGATTCTACATGCAGAGAAAGCAGTTGACAGCCCCAGCCTTGAATAGGTTATAATCTAGAGCAGTGATTCTCACCTAGGGTACCAGGACACCTTGGGATGCTGCAAAGTATTTTGAAGGGTGGTGTGAGGAGATAAACACAGACGTAGGCTTCTCTCTCCCTGGCTGGTGCCCCACCCTAACCACCCAGCCTCTCTGCAAGGAGGTAAATCCTATAATAAGTTAGCTTTTGAAATGAGGTGCAGCTCTATTCTTAAAAGTCGTGGAAGGGTACCTTGAGGTTGAAGACCAATGATCTAGAGAGAAAAGGCACAGGTGTTCAGGAAGTAAAACAGTTTGCCAAATGACTCAGATGAGAACAGAAAACCCCAGTCTCATGACTCCTAAGTCTAGTGCTCTCTCCACTGTAATATACTGTCAACGAATCAAGAATGTAACAGTGAAACAACTACTTTAGGGGTTTTACATGCAAAAAAAAAAATCTTTCAGGTGCTTATGAGCAGCAGTTGTAGAAATTCCACTACATTCACTAGCACGCTGTGCAAGAGCACCAGGGCAAAGAGTATAATGAAGAGTGGTCAGAGAGAAGCTAGGCTAAAAATGTTAATTGTTTCCTATCCATGTTGTAAAAGAAACACTTTTAGAAATCATTTATAGTTTATGTTTTACTTACTATTCATTTTTACATTTCTCAACAGAAGACACCGACAGTAAAGTGACAGTGTCACTTTAAAGTTCTCAGCCAGTATAACAAAGTTGCAGATTTTTGCTGGTTAATCTGAAAGGAAAACTGCTGCTAAAGGTTGGAGAGTCCCCCCCTCCCCCCTTGCTTAAATTTAGGGATGGATTTTTATTTATTTATTTTTTAAATAAAAACTACATTTTGGGGCACACCCAATTTGACATTGTCCTTCTAACATGCAATAAAGGAGAAGAGAGGAAACATGAAGAAAAAACTTCATGGCCCAAATGAAAGGATCAATCGTATTTACTCCATAACAAAGGCATTTACTTGATTTATTATACTAATTTAATTTAATTCATTATACTATAAACTTCTCTCTCGCTCACTTAAATGAAGTGTATATGTCTGTATGTAACTTGAGAATGGCTGGTTCTGTCTACTCTAAACCTTCCAAAATCACTGAATACCACCTGAAGAAAATTACAGGCAGGTTTTTTCACTTGACCCTTTTTGGGGCTTCCATCAACTGGGATTACTTTGCTTCTCAGATAAACTGGTACCACTCCATTTTGGATGCAGTGAATTCAGATCAATTGCCATTATTACATGGACACTTGCCTTTTTTTTCCACTCCACGTTAAATATTAAATGTTATGCTATGTTCTTTAAAAATAAAGCAACATTTTTTACCTAAAATATGTTATACTAAGTTCTTTGAAAATAAACAAACAGTGCAATTACAAAAATAACAACCTAGGCAAAGAACGGGTACTTCAGCTAGTTATGTGGCACCAAACTGACTAGCACCATGACTTTAAAGGACCTAGGGGTAACACTAGCTAGACCATAGTATGAACATGAGCTGTCAGTGCGATCCTGTAGCCAGCAGGGCAAACAATACTCTGGAATGCATCAACCGATGCATCTCAAGCAAAACCAAGGAAGTGATTCCTTCCCTTTACTCAGCACTGGTGAGACCGCAGCTGGAGTACCATGTCCAGTTCTGGGTGTCACACTTCAACAAGGACATGGAAAAGCTTGAAAGAGTCCAGAGAAGAGCCACCTGTATGATCAGAGACTTGAGTGGCAAGCCATACAAGGAAAGGCTGAGGAAACTGGGACTCTTCAGCCTAAAAAAAGAGAAAGCTAAGAGGGGACTTGGTAGCACCTTACTGCTACACTAAGGGAGTACATCAAGGGTTTAGCAAACAACTGTTCACCAAGGCACCCTTGGGGAAAAGCAGGAGTAATGGCCACAAAACTCTTGGAAGACCATTTCAGACTCAACATTAGGAAAAACTTCTTTACTGTCAGGGTGTCCAGACCGTGGAATAAGCTCCCTCCAGAGGCGGTGGAATTGCCTCCCCTGGAAATCTTCAAGAGGAAACTGGATGTCACCTAGCTGGGGTCACCTGACCCCAGTTGTCTTTCCTGCCTAGTACAGGAGAGCTGTACCCAATGATCTTGCGAGGTCCCTTTCAGCCCCGTACAGTTGATTAATCTATGTTATATAATTTATTATACTATTATTAACCCTAATTTATTATACTATAACTATTTGAAGTCAATGGGATAGTGCACATATGTAAGCTTAAGAGTGTGCCTAACTTTCTACAAGAACTTTATATCTGTAAGCACCTCTTCCCTCCCCACAGCCCCAGCAAGCCACTTACTGGGCAGAGACCACAGGGGGTCCGAACCAGTCCAGTAGGTTGTATGATAGGGTTGACAGCTCTGTACAGTTTCATTTGTCCGTCCACACTACCCACTGTCCCTTCCTTTGCAGCAATGATGGTCATCTCCACCTTTCCATCATAGATGAGTGTGTTTAAAATGGTTTCAATGTCCTCCATTGACAGTTCCACCTAAAAGAAAAACAAACATTGGGAACAAGGGAAGGCAGATGTTACCAAATCCTAAAGACCAAAAAACAAAGGTAAATTTTTATTACTGCTGAGTCTTTACAGTGTAGTTTAAGTCCAGATAGGTGCATGTAGCTTCCAATGGCTATAAAAAGGATATAATAAAGTTAGAAGCAGACAAAAACTAGTCAAATTCTTGTTGTTTTTTCAAAGTCCTTAAGATTAAGCTGGCCTATCATGTATATTTCCTAAGTGGCATTCCCCCATGCACCTCCAATTTCTGTAATACTTCAGATACGGTGCAATTCCCACTCTACATGGAACTGACTGTCATTTTCTCACTCTTAAGATGAGCTGCCTTGCAAGCTCCAGGCCACACCTGGAGTACTGTGTCCAGTTTTGCTGCCCCCCCCCCAGAAAGGATATGGACAGATTGGAGAGAGTCCAGCAGAGGGCAATGAAAATGGTTCGGGGGCTGGGGGCCATGACTTCTGGGGACAGGCTGAGGGAACTGGGCTTTTTAAGTCTGAAGAAGAGAAGGTTGAGGGGGGATTTAATAGCAGCCTTTAACTACCTGAAGGTGGTTCCAAAGAGGATGGAACTAGACTGCTGTCAGTGGTGGCAGATGACAGAACAAGGAGCAGTGGCAGCAAGGGAGGCTTAGGTTAGCTATTAGGAAAAAACTCTCTCACTAGGAGGGTGGTGAAACACTGGAATGAGTTACCTAGAAAGGTGGTGGAATCTCCATCTTTTTAGGTTTTTAAGGCCTTACTCGACAAAGCCCTAGCTAGAATGATCTCGTTGGGGCTGGTCCTGCTTTGAACAAGGGGTTGGACTAGATGGCCTCCTGAGGTCTCTTCCAACCCTAATTTTCTATGATTCTAAGCTGTCTGCCTCCATAATGCCTAACCCACACTACCTATCCCCCTACCACTGCCTTCCTCAGTACAGTGATGTGGGGGATGAATTTAAGAAGATCCTCCAATAATTAGATACTATACATGGGAAATGAAAATACATTTAAAATTTTTCATGTATAGAAACTAATTATTGGGAGTCATCTTAAATTCAAGGTTGCCTTGGATTTAGGTAAATATGGTACATTAAGTTGAGGAATTGGGCCTGAGGGTTGATCATCATCAGCCATTTGGAAAGCAGTAAGTTGAATGTCATGCTGACCTTGCTGATCCCCAACTCACAAATGTATTTCCACACCTCGTGGGATGAAGCAAAAGAACTGTTTCTCTGTATCATCGGGTTCTGTTTGCTTTCTCGAGCTGCTTCTGCCTAGGAAAAGGTGAACAGGAGCAAAACAAAACAAGAGAAACAAAAAGAAAAACACAGTTACTGCTCACTGTCATGAGAAAACCTCTACAAAGAGATGGTATAAAAGCAGGAGTGGGTAAAATGTGGCCTGCAGGCCGGATGTGGCCTGCCAGGCCATTCTATCCAGCCTGCAGGGCCCCTAAAAATTTAGAAAATTAATATTTATCTGCCCCTGGCTGCCTGTCATGTAGCCCTCCACGGCTTGACAAAACTCAGTAAGTGGCCCTCCGCTCAAAATAATTGCCCACCCTGGTATAAGGTATTTCCCAGACACCTGTCTACAGTGCTTTCCAGAGACCATATTTTTCTGCAGCAGATAAAAGACTCCACAAATTATGATGCACAATGTACATTAAGTGGCAACTTACAAGTCAAGCACCATATACAATCAGATAAATACATTAATGAGAAAGGGCAAGTACCATTCTGAATCTCATTTACAGAGGTAAAATATCAGCCAGACAGATATGTGTACTATACATTCTGATGGGCAAGTGCAACTCATAGGTTGTTAGGGGCTGGAAGGGACCTTGTAGATCATCAGGTCCAGTCCCCCTGCACTAGGCAGGAAAAAACAACTGGGGTCAAGAAGATGAAGGCTGTTTCCCTCAAGTTGGGGCAGGAGGTACTGATTTCTAGGCAGAGTCTGCAATAATCAGAGCCAAACACTTCTTCCCTCCCCTCTCCTCCAATCCCCCCATAGAAAAAGCTAATTTGTTTCTTCCTATACAATTTGAAAAACACATCTGGCGGAATGAGGCTTTTTTTTTTTTCCAAAAAAGGTAAGAATTATAGGTTTAAAGGAGAGCTCCACTATGTTTGCACTATCAATACAAGTAAAAACCAGCCAAGAATTACAGCCCAGCAACTATGCAACAAAGTCTACTTTTCTATATTAAGAGTTATATAAAAATCTTTCAGCAACAGGGTTTTACATAAAAATAATTACTTGGAAAAACACCAGAAGATGGGTGTAGCAATCATAATAACAACAACAACAACAACAACAACAACAACCACCACCACCTTCTCTCACCTTGGACTGTAAGAATTTAAAACACTGTTGGTTTAATACTTCCACAAATTCAGACTCAAAGTCTTGGTCACTGTACCATGCCCCACCAGTCACAGACCGGTCAGGCTGTAGGTTGTATAACATGTACACTTTCTTCTTTGAGGCCTAGTGAAGAACACATGCAATTTTAAATAGCCAAGTTTCTTCCACATGAGAGAAGCATTTAACTAAGGACAGAAGCAATTTGTAGACAGTAGGATTCCATTTGCTCTGAAATGAAGAGATCATGCCAACTGCCAGCTGCCCGAGGGGAGAGGCCACTCCAGCAGCCTCCTCAGAGGCATGCAGGAGCAGTCCCAGCAGCCAGTGCAGGCAGGCTTCAAGCCCCACCCCACACTGAACAGCAAATGTTACTTATGTTTGCTTACAAGTGCTATAAGTTAGCGTGCAAGTCAAACACAATAGTTCAAGCGCTTCTGTCAGGGGTTTTTTGAACATCTGCACTTAGACAAAGCTCCAATAATTCCAAAGCAGGGCATTATGCAGCATGTAGCAAAGTAGGCAAGCTTTGGCAAGGGATAGCGATTATGGACTCAGCAGTAAATTAAGAAAAGGGTTTTATTACATTGAACTGAGATGCATACTGAACATGTTTTCAAGGAAAAATTACTGAAAATTCATTAAAATGCAGCAACAAGTGACAAAAGCATTTCACATTATGTACACAACATATACTCTGCCTTTCCCAAGAACTGAAGGGCAAATAGGCTGCAAAAGCCACACCATAAATAGTTCGCATATTCCACAGCTGGCATTTATAAACTGGGTTAAATGCTTTTGCAACTCTTTAAAGTTTATGAGTATAACAAGATGCATTTAAAATCTATCCCTCTTCCAAGCAATTCTTAAACATACTTGCTTAAATTTGGTTCTGAATACAAATGCTTAGTTTATCCTACTCATTTCTAGCGTTGCGATTCAGAAATCACACACATCCATTTAAGAGAACAATGTTTAAAAAAAAGTTTGACTGCAAAATGGTCTGGGAAGGACGAAGCAAGGAAGTTTTAATTTGACCTAAACAACACATAGCAATAACAAGGTAGGATTTTAGTACAATTCCCAGTTTCTCTTCACTAAAGCCATCACGCCTCTATGCATATGTAATATTTTTGCTTGAATTGCAACTTATATCCCAGTCCTTCATGGCTTTACAAAGAAGTTAAAATACTGCCTGCAATTTGGAGAGGAGCAAGCTGCTACACATAGGGCATGTTTACATGTGATGCTGCATCACAGTAGCAAAGCACTCCCTCGTTATAGCACGCTACTATGGCAACACAGCAGCTAAAAATAACCACGTGCAGCCTGCATGGCGCAGTACAGGTTGTTTCTGGGTTGTATGGCCACATGTAGATGTGCTCAGAGAAATTAAGTGACTCACCCAAGATCACAGATTCAATAACAAAGCTGGAAGAGAACACGCATTTCTTGACTGCTAGTCACCTGCTCTAACGATCACACCATGAAGCATGTATTTCAAGTAGTTAAGAACTCTGGATTACTCACCGCCACAGACTTAACAGCTTTAATGAGTTTCTTGCTCTCCAAGTTTTTCAGTATCTTGTTGATCTCTGTTAAAGGCAGATTACTTTTGTATCTAATATCCCTGCTCCAAATACCTGTTTAAAATAAAAAAGAAGAAAAGGTGTTGAATTAAAATGAATATGAACTGAGCATTATAAGCCTCAGGAACAGGTTTCGTTCTTATATCCAAATCAAGTCTCACAATGTTCCTTCCCAACTCAAAGCTCACATTATATCATTATACCACTAAACAGGATGTACTGTATGAGAACACTCATTCTACCCTCTGTCTACAGTTGCCATAAAAAGAAATTGTCTACTCTGAGGGCTTTTATGGGCAGATTCGGTTCCGGCACTGGAACAGGCTAAGATATACAGAAAAGAATAGTGAGAAACTTTCCCTCACTTTTTTAAAACAAAATAATAATTTAAGAAACACTTCAATAAAAGGTTGTGACCAAGTCACCCTTCTTGTTTGCAAGAGAGGCTATATAAAGGGGAGGCATGTGGAAATGTGGGTTTTGAGGTCAGTCTTTGAGGGGCCTTTGGCTCTGGAACTTAATCCCTCATCCCTCAGTCTGACACAGTCCTAGTCTGATGATTCTCACACACTTCAAACTGTTTCCCAGGCTTCTTAAGAAGGTTTTGGATCAGAAAGCCTCACAGGAGAGGCCATTACTTTGTGGAGAATACAAATGTTTAGTCCCAGCAGGGGGGAACAAGGGAAGGAGTTGGCTGAAGTCCTATTATAGACACCAATTCTTTAGGCTTGTTTGTTTTGGACAAGCACTTTACACCTTGGTGAGAAGCTCTTAAAATAAGCAAAAAAGTTATAACCGGTAATGCTTTGTTTATAGATCATCATGCCTTACATTGGGAAACAGCATTACACCTTCACTTCCACTCCTACCTCCACATACATTTTAAGCAACAGACCTAGTTCAAGATTATAACTAATATTCTTTGTCAGTGAGCTACCTTTGTTGCCTGCATCCTCTATAATTTGATAGACCAGCTTCTCTTGGTTGTCAGATCCCTTCATTTTACTGTAAAAGACAGATTACAAGGAGATAAGACTACTGGTTTAATTAACCTAAGAGACATAAACATAAAAAAACCTAATTCAATACACAAAAAGTGGATTTTGTTGGGGCAGGGAGAATTTGTGGGTAGGAAGGGAGAATTGCTAGGTTTGGAGGATTTCCCCTTGGAAGCAGATCTAGTCAATTTTATTCCACTTTGCACAGGCAACTTCAGATGTGAGATAACACCCTATTTTATAATCAGTGACCCCCCCATCTAGTACTCTGGTGACTTCAACTGGATTTTACCCAAGTATACAGATCTGCTCACAACATTTTATGGGGGCTATTCACCATGAGTAGCACTATGCCTGGCAATATTTACAGGATAAGGTCCAAAGGAAGCCAAAACTACATGTTGGAACAAATGAGTTAACACATGTTTTATAATAGCATCATTTCAGGATGATAGTTTTCTCGCCAAGACTGCAGTGGGAGCTGGTGAGGAGCTATAACCAAAGGACTGTTCCATTAAATAAATAAATAAATAAATAAATAAATAAATAAAGCTCACCTAGCATTTTGAGAATCTTTGATTCTGTAGAGAAGACCTGCATTGCTCCTGAGAAGGTCCAACTGTCCCTGGAAGATGGACACAAACTATTTAATCTAGTACTTGGCTCTTTGCCAAGAGCAGGAGTTTGACATTTACCTTCTATACTTTGTAGACACAAAAATGTCACTTAATTATATTTGACTAAGATGGCTGAAAAACATAATACATTTTCACCTTCTGGAAACACCATCGCATTTTAAAATCAGTTGGCTCAGCAAGTAACACCGGTCAGTAAAGGTCACAGACACTGCTCCCAGCCTCTTTCTGTAACTGGAAAACATTAACTTTTTGCTCCCTTCCAACACTGCATAAAGGCTATAAGTTCCAGTGTACACTTCCTGCAGCCTGCAATAACATGCCCATTTATTTAAACAAAAACACTAACAAATTGCCATGTGTACAGGTTAAAAGCAGCGTAACAGCTTGAAGTCTTCCTGATTTCCAATGGCAGGGTCAGAGCCTTGATCTAATAGCTAAATTAGGTCACAAGAGAATGGCTGGAGGATCATAAATAGCATAATGTTAATAGCTGTCCTCTTCCCCCAGGTCAAGTAGTCAACAATGCTCACAAAGGGGTTGTCCCATCCTTAAACACTTAACCATCATTACCTTGCCAATTATCAGACAGTCTCTTAGCGTTCCTTTTTAGAAAAAAAATCACCTGGAAAGAAAAGAGTAGTAGATTCTTTCCAGCATCATCAGACATACTCCAGGCTTTTTTAACCCAACTCAGTAAGGTCTCAGACAAGGATGTGGTGCAAAAAATTCTCCATATCAAGAACAAGCATCCCCACTGATGCTACTAGCTATTTCTCCAGCCTTTATAACTGTTGCTCATGAGGTGCTATTGTCCTGCTTTTGGGACCTGAAGGTGGCAGCTAGACACAGGCTAATCGGCTCTGCTCCCTTCTGTCTTAGAGATCACTAAGGATTAGAGGTGCAATGATACATCAGTCCATATTGTATCAGCACTGATGAAAGGAAAATTGACATTATCAGCAATCTGCTTTTTTGGCCTATGTGGCCGATAATGTCACTGATAAATGATGTCACTGGCCACAGCACGCACGTGGCCAGCTTGGAGAGCAGAGTCTGGCTAGTAAGTCTGTTGTAGGGTGGGAAGGGCATGGGGTGGGAGGTCCACAGACTGGGGCTCCTGTGGTGAGAGAGAGAGTGGGGGTGGGGCTGGGGCAGGCACTGCCCAGCCAGGGCAGGGCACGGTGTGGGACAGAGCCACGAGAGGCTCATCCCGGGGCTGCAGGGGGCAGTTCCCACCACTGTGCTCACCTGCGGGGGAGCGTGTGCCCCCCAGATCTGTGCTTGGGGCAAGGGCTGCTGTGGGCTGGGTGTGGTGCTGGGCTCTTCCCAGTGGAGAGCTTGGGCCAGGGTTGCATTTGTGTTGGGTGATGGTGGTCCCCAGCTATGCAATCCTTAAGATGTGGACAAAACAGATGGCTTCATCCAGCCCTTTCATAAGCTCAGTCCACTTCCAAATGGGATGTATAGAAAAACATTTAAACCATTTTTACCACAAAGCCTTTGGTAAAAATTGCCAACATACCCTTATTTGAGTGTACTTGCCCCTGTTGTCACAGCAACTAACATTTTCAGGACCCTAGGCTCTTCTCCACAGCACTCCCAAAGACCAGCAGGGACCAAACTGCATTCTTTCACTTCAGCATACAGATCTTGTCATCATCACCTTTGTTATCTCAAAGGACTATTGCAACAAGCTCTACCTAGGGTTGACCCTGAAGCCCACTGTACCTATTTTTTTAGCTAGGACAACATGATGACACCATATAACATCAACATGCTGTTATTAGTTGCCTGTCCACCACCATGCAGGTGAAAACTCAGAAGAGTACAGGAGCACATATCACCCCCCAAAAAAATCTTGCCTCTCACATAATTCCTGGACCATCACAGCTACAACATCACAAATACAGTACTACCATACACTTGACGCTTGGAACGAAAAGATGAGTGCAGGATACATTCAACAGTCACCTTTTGCTTCTAGTATTTATTGTGGACATCTTTTTCTACATCGAGCCATAAGTCTGGCCACTTTTAAAGCAAAAGGTCTTGTTATTATTATGACAAGACCAAGGCATGGGATTTCCTAACAGTCTGCTGACCCCAATTCACCGTCACAAACGCCCTCAGGGAAGCTGCTCTGTTCACTGTGGAGGAATGCACGGAACCTGGGTCACCATTTTGGCATAATACTGGCTGGTGCTATTTGAGCCTGTGCAGCTATACTTGGTTATGTGGGTGTTACAGAATAACAAATGCAACTAAAATTAAAGCAGATTAAGAGGTCAGAGGGAAGTTCAAAACAAAATAAAAATCAGCCTTCAATCCTGAATCTGGTAGAATTTGAGTGAAATACAGGTCCCAATGAAGCCAGTGGCAAAACTTCCTTTGACGTCAGTGGATCTTGACTTCCACTTGGTCTCCCAAGGGAATAAATTTGCTTAACAACCCAATTGTGTTATCCCTGCACTAAAGAAGAATAGCAGTACGCAGCTGCTAACACCAAACAAAACACATTTTCTGCTCTAGCCAGTCCGAAGAAGTGAGCAGGCCAGGCCCAGCTCTGCAGCCACACCTGCTCAGGAAACAAGGGTGCAGGCAGGGAGGCTGTGAGGGGATGGGCTGGTGCCCTCACCAAGCAGACGCAACCCTACCATAGAGAGCAGCCGGTTGATGGCCATGGCCCGCTGCTGGGCGTCCGTGTGGGGCATCTCGTTCTGGATCACCTGATCCGTGATGCCGTGGGGGAACTGATGGCAGAGCTCGATGATCCTGAGTGGGAAGAGGAGGAGAAGTCAGTGTGGCTTAGGGTTACCATACGTTACCATGGACCTTTCCTGGACATGTCCTGTTTTTGGGTCCTCCTATCTCTGTCTAGGCGGGTTTTTTTAAATATCAGCAAGTGTCTGGGATTCTGCTCTTCCCAACTTGCCCCAGCAGTGGGGAAAATTGACTAGAGGCTGGTCACCAGTTCTATGAGCATGGGCCCCAGCAGCTGAAGGGGTGCAGGCTGAGGGGGAGGGAGGGTGTGCCTGCCTGCTAGTGCTGGGGCTGCAGCAAGGACGGGAGCATGGGGAGCTACTGGGCAGCTGTGGGGTTGGCAG